GTCACATGGACCTGCATTCCTCTTACAGTGGACAAGTGCCAAACTTGTTCTATTGTGGTAGAGCAAAATGGGAACTTTAGCAGTTCAAGAGCTGACAGGGTGGGGTTTTGCCAAATGACACACTCTGCTTACTGACATTTAACCATAGGCTTACAGTGGCTGACAGGTGCCTGTAAAAGATGCAGATGCAGGAAACAAAGCAACAGGGACAGAACAACCCCCTCTAGGCTTAGTGCAGTACAAGTCCCTAAGCTGTATGAGCTAAGAGTCCCTAGGTTGTTGACAAGCTTGTATTCATATAAGGAATGTGGAATGCACCCTCCAATAGAATTGCGCCAACTCTCTTGCCTTGATGTCCCTAAAACTTGCTTATGTACAAAAGTAAAAGCCCTGCTGCACTTTTGCAGGGGTCGGGTGGGGGGAATTATCCCTTTGAGCCGTGGCGCCGCTAATAGTGTTGCTTCCAGATCTCCATGTCCTGACCCTCATTTCCCAATACACTATGAGCACCATAAAAGAGTACTGAACTGACAGAGGTCTCCATGGGACCAGGAAGCCCCCCAGATTTTGGATTTTCCAACAGCCTGGGAAAAATTCTACAGCCAAAGCTGTAAGTACCCCACATTACCTCTGTCACCCTTTCACCTATTTACTTTAAAAGGGAGAACAAGACCTTGGCCTGAGTTATTGATCTAGTTCAGAGACTTCCCTCTGACACTGTATGTATAAAAAAACATCCTACCTAAATAAATAGGATAACCTTTTCCCCAAATAAGTTTCCTTTAGTCAGAGTTCATTGAAATACACAGCTAAGGAGGAGACACATGTGCTGCTGTTTCTTGCCATGTGATGCTGAGTCACCTCCAGAAATGCCATCAACAGTTGTAGCCCATAACCTTCTACCTCTAGAACCAGAGCCAGAATAAACCCCTTTTCTTAAGTAAAACAAGCAAACAAAAAAGCTAAAGAGGATTTGACCAAGTGATTTCCATGTGGTATTCATGGTCCTCATTCCATTTATTCTAAAAAGAAAAAAATCTTGATGGGCTGGACAGATAGCTTTCCCACAAGTGTCACATGCAGCATGATGTGAGTGCTCAACAAATGTGAGGTGAACAGCAGTCAGCACAGCCAATCTGGAAATTGGTAAGATTCAGCTAAGAACAGTTTTCTGTGAGAATACCACAGGGTCACCATCACCTTGGGATTTGTCCATGATGGATGTCTCCAACTTTAGATTCTATTACTTGCTCTCACCCTCCAACACTTCACCTTAAAATGAATCACAACAGCAAACTATCCCACAAAGTCAGAAAGGAAGATAAATTGTATCATTGTGGTAATTCTATAGCCAGCCTCAGGAAGGACATAAAGAGACTCTTCTAGGAAAATATTTCCAATTGTTAAATTTGTCTGGTTTACAAATTCAATTTCCTTTGAATATCTACATTCACTTAATCCTCTGGCTCAGGAAATTAGAATTAAGCAATTTTTTTTTTCTTGTGGTGCTGGAGATCAAACCCAGTGTCTTGCACAATGCTAGGAAAGCCCTTTACCACCGAGCTCCACCCCCAGCTCTGCCCTGAGTCTTAAGACTTATTTTACTAATGTAGATAATGAAACAGAAACACAAGAGAAAGAAATAGGCAGGAAAAAAATGATAAAACTTTTGGAGAAACAGTAATGGAGACTCCTCAGAAAACTTGGAATGGAACCACCATCTGTCGCAGTTATCTCACTTCTCAGTATATACCCAAAGTACTTAAAATCAGCATACTATGTCAATGTTATAGCAGCTCAATTCCCAATAGCTAAGCTATGGAACCAACATAGGTACCCTTCAACAGATGAATGGATAAAGAAAATGTGGTGTGTGTGTGTGTGTGTATATATATATACACACACACACACAATGGGATATTACTCAACCTTAAAGAAGAATGAAATTATGGCATTTGCTGGTAAATGAATGGAACTAGAGAATATCATAAGTGAAATAAGCCAATCCCCCCAAACCAAAGGCTGAATGTTCTCTCTGATACATGGATGCTAACACACAAAGTGTGTGGGGGTAGGAGGTGGGAGGGTGAGAATAGAAATTCATTGGATTAGACAAGGGAATGAAGGGAAGGAAGAGGTATGGCAATAGGAAAGACATCAGAATGAATTAGACATAACTTTTTAATGTTCACATATGAATACATGACCAGTGAAACTCCACATCATGTAAAAACCACAGGAATAGGAAGTTATACTCCATGTATGTATAATTATTCTAAATATGCTCTACTGTCATGTATATCAAAAAAGAACAAATTTTAAAAATTTTTAAGAAGAAAACAAACTTGTGGAAAGCTGTAGGGAAACATGGAAACATCCTATATATAACCACATAACTTACATTTATTGTTTGGTTTGGTTTTGGTTTTAGTGTGTGGTGATACTGGGGATAGAACCCAGGGCCTTGCACATGCTAGGCACGTGCTCTACCACTGAGCTACTACACCCCTATATCTTACGTTTATGATTGGCTATGAAAACATTACTTTCTCACTTAGTTCACTTTTTTACTCATGCATGTGTGCATTTAACAATCGCTGAGTGCAGTGCTGGGTACGAAGATTGCAGAGTAGGGGTACCTTGCCTATAGAGATTTATGGTCTGTTATTAGAGAAAAAAAAAAAAGAAAAGCTCAAAACTTACATAATGGCCTGAAGAGGCTCTTTGAAAACTTCCTGGGAGAGATGACTGACACTGGAGCTGACTAAGTCTTGAAGCATAAATGTAGGTTCCCAGTGGAAGAGCTAAATTAAGACAGAGTTAACTGAGGAAATGGATTCAAGACGGTTAATAAGAAACTAGAATCTATAAAACTGACTGATCTGCTGTGGATGTGGAAGAGAAGTAATCAAGGCAAACATCTGGGTTCGTGGCTTGTGGTGAAAGGTGTCTGATGGAGCCACTCAGACACAGATTACAAGAAAAGGGGCAGCTGAGATGTTCTGATGACTCTGTTTAAGATATGCGAAGAGACTTTAAGGAGATACGTCTACAGTCAGTTTGCTGCATGGGTCTAGAGCTCCGGAAATAGATACGAGCTGGAAACAAATGTAGAATCACTAAAGTTACATAAGCAGAGGGTGAATCCATGACTCCTGATGGAGGCTCCCAGAGGCAGTGAGATGACCAGCAAGTCAGGAGTCTCCTCAGGACGTGCCAACAGGGAGGATGTGAGCCAGAGAGAAAGAGAGAGGGCCGTGACCCACAGCTGAGGAGGGAGTGGCCAGCAAATCACATAGAAAAGAACTGCTATGGGCTGAATGTTTGTGTCCCTCCCAGATGCACATGTTGAAACCCTCATCTCACTGTGATGGTATGAGAAGGTAGGACCTTAGGGGAAGCCAGGAGTGCTTGGTCCTCTGAATGGGATGAGTGTTTATAATAGAGGATGAAGAATGTGTCCAGGTACCATTCCCTTCCAACTCTTCCACTATGTGAGCATACAGTATTTATCCCTTTCAGCCGATGCAGCATTGAGGTGCCATCCTGGAAGGAGAGAGCAGCTCTCACCAGACATGAAATCTGCTGATGCCTGGATCTCAGACTTCCATCCTCCAGAGCAGTTAGAGAATAAATTTCGGTTGTTTATAAATTACTTAGTCTGTGTTACTTTGTGATAGCATCCAGAAAGGACTAAGACAGAAGGTAATTGTGTCTCGAGGATGGGGCTCTCATGAGATTAATGCCTTTGTAAGAAGAAACAGGAGAGAGTTGTCTCTCTCTGCTCTCTTCCAGGAAGAACACAAGGAGAAGGCATCCATCCGTGAGTCAAGAGGAGGGAGGGCTCTCCACCAGAGTCCAACCATGCTAGCACCTTAATCTCACACCTCCAACCTCCAGAACCAAAAGAAACAAAGTTTTTATTGTTTCAGTCACCCTGTCTATGGAAATTTGTTATATTAGCCCAGATTGGCTAAAATTTTGACAAATAAGGTAAACACTGGGATGGAGGATGTTACCTTTTCTTCTGAGAAGAAAGCAAAGGACAAAAGGAGAGTAAAGGAATGATTTAGAGAGGAAGGAAAAGGCAAATGATAGTGTAAGAAACACATTGGAGGTAAGTTTACAAGGACAGTTCATGGAGTTAAACAACAAAACATTTTCACAAAATACAGGGAACCATGACAGAGATGAGGATCAGCTCTGTCACTAACAGGCTGGGTGAATTCTGTGCAATGGTGAGTTGGAGTGACCTCTAAGTTTCCTTCTTCCTCTAAGAAGTTGGACTCTCTTGTCACTATGCTGCTCCAGTGTGCTTTTCATTGGCCTTCTCAAAACCAAGACAGGTCCTACTGAGCCTCAGAAACCGAATCCTACCAGGTGCAGAGTGGGTGGGATGAGGTCTGTTCATATGGGTCTTCCACCCCAAAAGAACTTGGATTCTGGCATCCTGATTGTAATAGGAAGACCCACCACAGCTGGGCAGGGCCCCTGTCTCTGCAGTTAGAACCCAGGGTGTTTGGCTATGTCATTGCTGATGCAGACCCTATGGTTTTTGGTCTGCAATCCTACAGAGAAGCTGGCTTCAAACAGATGTGACAGTTCCCACATTGCTCTTAGCTTTCATGATGTGCCTCGAGATCATCCCAGACCTTTATCCTGTATATTGTGCCAAGTTCCAGCACAACAGAGACCTTTTATGACCAGAGAGTGAAAGCAACTGACCTTATTTTGTAGAGTTCACAGCTGCTCTGTTAAAAATTAAGCTTCTCAACAATTTCCTTTCACTTGGCTATTAAAAGGATCTAGTTGTAGCTGATCAGTTTTGAAGAAATTATTCAAATGATTCAGTCACAATCCTGTAAATCCATCTTGGTGCCTCTGTTCACACCATCATTTTCCTCTTTCCTCCTCTTATTCAAGACCAGGTGAAACTTCCCATCCTCTAGAAGTGGTTTGTTCACCATGAGACCTAGGTCCTTAAGATGCCTACAACCAAATATGTCACAGATTAATGAATCTGACCTCATAAAAGGTCTTGAAGATGCTATTACTTCAGTAATTAATATCATCCACAATCATTGTGTCTTGGCACATCTCACATAATTTCACTTTATGTAAGTGTGTAGATTGTCGGAGTCCAGCTCCAACAGGGGGTCTCAGGAGACGAACGGATGGTGAGGAGTCAGCAAAAGCGGGTGGAGAAACAACACAGACACCAAAGTGAAGGTGCTGAATCCCAATCTTTACTTGTGAAGTTGATTATATATACTTTTCATTTTGGCAGGCTCACAGTACTTTGTGGTTACAAAACAGGAATCATTATTCAAAGAAACAAAATATTATGTAGCTACAATTAGAATACAAGAATGTATCTTGGCTTATGCATAAGCAAGCATTTGTACTTTCAGTTCGCGTTTTGTTTTGAACTGTTTCTGCTTAGTTAACTTTTAATAATAGTTACAAATGTCCCAAATTATTGGCCTATACCTTGACTATTCTTTCTTGACTTACTGACTGGAATCGGTGCCATGGTTACGGCAAGTGGACTTGTTATTACTTTTAATCAAACAAAAGTAAGAGCACAAACAATTGTGCACAGGAACAAGAACAAGTTGCCCAGTACTAAGCACTAATTTGTCTTCTTAACATTAATTTTTCTTCTCTAGATTTTAATTTAATTTCTCAAAAACTTCCTTGACAGGAATACAGGGAGTTTTTCATTAGACATTAATAATTTACACTCCACAGCTGAATCATTGCATTTAGAGCAAACAGATCTATGCTTTAGAAGTAGTTGCATTAATTGGGAAAGTCATGTTTTTTCCTTCATACTTAATGGTCATATGAGAAATCTCAACTACACTTATTAAAGGAATACAAAAACAAACCAGCCCATTCCCAGAAACATACTGCGTTCCTCACTGCCATCCACCTCAGTAGGGCCTTGCCATTGCCTGAGTCAGGGGAGGGGCGCAGCAGGAGATTATCACCTAGGTCTAGTGTTGATAACGTTTCTTTGGGCTTTACTTTAGCGTCAGTGAACACAGTATGTTGTTCTTGTTTGACAGAGAAGTTAGAATTTTGCCAAAGGCTTTCCTTCCCCTGGACTCTTTTCAGACTCAGTTTTACTCTGCACTCATTTTTCCTGGGACGTTAAACACAACCCTCTAACAAGCTTCTCTCTCATCTCTAGAAAAACACAGAATGATCCAGAGAAAACAACAAAACTCAGAAAGAGCAGTTAAATGTAATGAAGCTTCCCTGGGAAAACATTCTGGATAAATGAAAGCATGGTGAGAAGAAATCTTTCAAACTGAAAAAGGCCTGAAACCAAATCACTACTTTGTGCTGTAAACAGTATCAGGAGGCACTGTTAATTGGGAGATGACCTTGACCTGAATAGCTAAAGCAGACAAAGACAGTAAATTGCAAAATCGACAGTGGAAGTCACCTCAAGAGATGATTCTTTTAATGTTTTCCAGGGACTTACCAGAAAACCAGGCGAGGCCATACAAACAACACCAAGCCAAACACTACCTCAAGGAGGGTTTTACAGGTGAGTTTTTGATCAACTTTTATTTCTTATGTATTATCTTTATCAGGTACTTCAGGATTCACCTTGGCCAGTTTCCAATTTTTATGACTTCTGAATTAATTAGATCTGATTGTCAAGAATGTACATATCTGACATGGCTATTTATAGTGTTGTTGATTATAAAATTATTCATACTGTACTCAGTTTAAAACGTATTTCAGCAATTAATTCTTAGGCTCACTGAATATATATATTCACATCCATGTGCTATGTGTGTTTCGTGTTATTTTGTTTAGTCCTTGTAACAACTCATGGGAGAAAGGGGTTATTACTCTCACCTTCCAGACATGGAAACTGAGGCTCAGGAGATGAAGTTATTAAGCACCTTGATGTTCATTCAGCATTCTGTGTAGCTTTGCTTATTGGGAAAGAAGACCCTGAGGAGTGATTGTACATTTCCTATCTAGTCCATATTTTCCATTGAACATAAAGTAGCATTCTGGATTTTTATGTGTCAGACTCTTGCAAAACTGTTTGATCTGAGCAGTTTTCTGTAGCTAGATCACATCAAACCAGCTCTCAAGATGGGCCAAGCACAAAGTGGTGACATTAAGAGCCCCTGGTCCAACAACACCCACCTCAGAATTTCCACTCATAGGGTAGGTACCAGGCCTGTTGAAACCACTCAAACATACCTTGAAGCTGGACTGTGTTTGACAGCACCAGGAGCACACAAGTCCATCCTTTGAGGGTTGGCAGGGGGTCATTAATTACTCTGTTTCTTTTTTTAGGTGACTGAGGATAACAAAATTGTGAAAATACGCCTGGTATTGAACTGAACGAGAAGTATATTTTTCAATCAGCCCAAGCCAATGTGGAATTCATTCACTTCTCTGAATACATGGATTTATCTCCTTTCCTTAACTGCAGACCATGAAACCTCCAACCTCTGGTCCTGCCTAGGCTGCACTGTTCTCTATATCCAAATAAAAAGGTCTTTCAAAAATGAATTCATGTTCATCTCCCTCTTCTTTGTGTTTCTCTGATACCTTCCAAGAAAAATCCAAGTGCCCTAGCCTGGCATCCAAGAGCCTTCTAGATCCAGCCTTTGTCTTTGCTTTAGTCCCTCTAAGCTTTAGCTCTGGTGAAGCAGGAGCATTTTGCTAAAATACTGGGCCTCCTCTCACTCTTCTGTCCTGGCTAACTTCTTACTAGATTCCTTCTTGGGATCCAGACCCTTTACAAGGTGCCTCTGCAGCTTCTATCTGAGAGGTAGAGTCTGCTTCCATGAACCTGGAATCTGGACTGACCTGTGACTTGCCTTGACCAATAGAATGTGCTAGAAGTCCACTAGCCTCAGCCAGGCCTTAAGATGCTGGCAGTCACTGTTAGCTCTCTTGGATCCTTGCCCAACCACTGCATGAACCTGAACTTCATTTTTGGATATAAATATATCAGTATGAAATAAGGCTTTAGATATGATTCCTGAGCAGCCTCTGAGGAGAGACTACATGGAAAAAAGCAGAAGTTCTGGGGCATTAACTGCCCATGGGTGAGCCTTGACCACTTGGGAAGCAAAAAGAAGCCAGACATACATATTTCCCCCTCTTCCCCTTTCTCTCTGAGCCATGGATCTTCTTTGTAACCCTCAGTGTGAGTGGATGTACCTGTTGAGCAAACCCTTGGTGTCTCCTCACAGATCACTGCAAATCAGTGGCCAGGGCTACGTGTGGTGGCACATGCCTGTAATCCCAGTAATTCAAGAGGCTGACCCAGGAAGATTGTAAGTTCAAAGTCAACCTCAGCAACTTAGCAAGGCCCTAAGCAACTTAGCAAGACCCTGTCTCAAAACATAAAAAAAAAACCACCATAGCTCAGTGGTTAAGCACCCCTGGGTACAATCCCTGGTACAAAAACATAGAATTGAAGATGAAATAAAACCCTTCCATGATAAACAGAAGCTAAAAGTATTCATAACCAGAAAACCTGCACTATGAAACATACTCAGTGAAATATTTCATGAAAAAGAAAGGAAAAATAAAAATTGAAAATCAGCACAGGGGTGAACTACACTAGAAGAATAGTCAATTAAATGAGAATAAAGTCTGATTTAAACATTACAGATACATCATAATGGCACAAATTAAAGAGCAACTCTCTATAATAACATGGAATATAAATGGTCTAAACTCTTCAATCAAAAGACAAAGTTTGGGGCTTGGGTTGTGGCTTAGCGGTACAGCATTCACCTAGCACGTGTAAGGTCCTGAATTTGATCCTCAGCACCACATAAAAGTAAATAAATAAGATAAAGGTATTGTGTCCATTTACAACTAAAAAATAACACAAATTTAAAGAAAAAGAGACACAGGTTGGCAGATTAGATAAAAATAAAAAACAAGACCCAACGATACGTTGTTTTCAAGAGACTCACCTCACAGGCGAAGACATCCACAAACTGAAGGTGAAAGGATAGGGGAAAAATCCCATGCAAATGGTACTCTTAAATAAGCAGGAGCAATTATTCTCCTATCAGACAAAATGGATTTCAAGTTAAAATTAATCCGAAGAGACACAGAAGCTCACTTCATATGATTGAGGGAATCATGCAACAAGATATAATGTTTATAAATATTCATGCCCCAAACAATGGTGCATCTACATACATAAAGCAAACCATTCTCAATAATAAGTATCAAATAGACCAGAATACAATAATACTGGGTGACTGTAACACAACTGTCTCACCACTAGACAGACATCCAGATTCTACAGAACTAAAAACTATGATTAATAATGTGAACCTAACAGACATCTTTAGAATATTTATCCATCAATGACTAAATTTACCTACTTCTCAGGAGCACATGGAGCATTCCTTTGGTTTGTATCTCCAAGCTTTCTTTTATCCCATAAATCTGAGTTTGATTTTTTACTGTTATCTCATATTTCTTGGAAGTTCTTTTCATAGTCTCTTAACATTTTCTCCATGATCAAGTTTATTTTCAAGATTATATATTTTTCTTCATTGTCTGAAACTCTGTCTTACAACTGGTCTATCTGCTGTTGATGCTTTCCAATGAATTTTTAATTTGGTGTGTTGATTTCTTCAGTTTAAAGATTTTTCCTTAGTTATTTTTCCAGAATCTCTATGTCATTTAAGTGATCTTTTGCTTTCTGTTTTTTTTTTTCTCCCTTAAACCATCCTTTACCTCACAGATCAATTTAAGTATGAATATTCTAATCTCCTTCTCTGACATTTTTTCCACTGGGGTATTGATAGTCTCTGATATCAAAGTATTTTGGTTTTTTGGGGTGATTTATTCCCTTGATTTTTGTGTGTCTACCCATCTAACAGTTTGTTTTGAGGCAGTAGAGTTTCTGTCCTGTGGGCTTGTAGTGTCCCTGAAGGTTTCCAGTACCTTACCATTAAGGGGAGAGACAGATAATAACAACAACTGATGCAGCATTAAACCAAATAGCTCTTGCCATGAAATCTACAATGTTGACTGTCACAATAATCAGAAATGATACGGTCAGTTAGTTATTGCAATGGTAAAAACAGTAAGTTTACAAAAGGTTTTACAATTTCATGTGGTGAACAAGGATAGAACAGAAGTGATGTCTGATGTGATGATTATGAGAGAGGAGGAGAGAAAATAGAGTAAAAAATTTTAAGGGAGATCAATAGAGATTGGCTGACAGCAGCAGGAAAGGGAGAAAGAGAGTTGAGGGAAACTGGTAAGGGAGAGAAGAAAATGTAAAAAATAAAAATTAAGAAGATTACAATGACAAAACTGATATATACTACTCAAACATCTTAGTCCTCAAAATTTTGATCCATGGCTAAGGCTGTGTCTACCTTCAAAATGGGGTGAAGACATGCATCGAGGAAGCTCGATTCCCAAAGAAAAGAAGAAGCATGCAGAACAGGAGTATGCAGGGCCCTGGTGGGCGCCGCTCTGCTCCAGGCCACTGTGCAAGTGGAACTCTGGGTTATCCCCAAGTGAGGGCAGAGGCTCCGCCAGGGGTTTCCACTGTAGCAGAGCCAGTAAATGAGGGTTGGGGAAGAAAAGATATTGCCTGCACTGCTCGGTGGTAGCATCCTCAGCAGCCACAGTTGCATCAGGCGCAGCACAAAGCACAGCGCCAGCCCAGGAGGTGCTGGAGCTGTTGGTGAAGTCACCTAACAGCTCTTTCTCCCTAGTATGCAAATTGACAAACAACCACAGAATAGGGCTCCGCATTACATAATCTCTTTTGAGCTGTTTTTCCTCGCTATGCCGATCTGATTTATGCAAAAACATGCCTTGCACATGTATGTGTAGGAATTGGAGACAGTGGACTCAACCTTTAGCTGTGGTCATCTGCCTGGTGTCCATATAGTCATTACGATTCCCCTGTGCATGTGGGAATTACAGAAACTGGATGTTGGAATACATACCAAGGCTTGGTTTATTGCTGGAATCTTGTTGCTGTTGACTGTACCTAGATCGCCATGGGTGCTATTGCAACACCTACTGTGTTATACACAATCTGAACCACAAAATCTAATAATAATTCTTTGGATGGTAACCATATACAGTTCAGGTAGTTGGATAGCTTTAAAATATCCCAGCATTGCACTATATGTGATTACCTGCAGAGAATTTACAACTTTATGGGATTCCTTGCTGATTATTTAACTAACCCATATCCAGATCTGGTATGAATCCTTGAAGCCAAAGATCAGCAGAAATATTTTCCACCTTCATGTTGGTGTCTATCATGGCCAAGAAGTGTTGCTATTTAGGTACAAACTGGGTGTACTGCAGTACACAGGTGTCAGACCATTCACCACCATCTTTGCTTTAATCTGTGAGCTTCTTGGTATATATGATGAAGGAAAATTCAGCTTTTCAAATGCTTGGACTTATTTGGTTATAATAAATAATATGTCACAATTGTTTGCCATAAATGTCTCCTGCTGTTTTATAAAGTACTAAAGGAAGAACTGAGTCCAGTCCAACCTATTGGCAAATTTCTTTTGGGTTCTGTTTCTTTTTGGCAAGCAGTAATTATTGCTTTGTTTATAAAAGTTGATACTATTTCTGAAAAGCATACATGGGAATGACAAACTATAGAAGCCATGCCACCGGACTCCAGGACCTTATTACCTGTATTGAGATGTTCCTTGCTGCTGTTGCTCGTGGCTACACATTCTCATATAAACCTTATGTCCAAAAAGCAGAAGAGGGCTCCTGCTTTGATTCCTTTCTGGAATGTGGGACGTTTCAAATATCGGAGATGATATTTCTGAACAAGTGAGGCATGTTGGACGGACAGTTAGGGGACATCCTAGGAAAAAAAATTTCCTGAGGATCAAGATCAAAATGTACACACAAGCTTGTTATCATCATTATCACAAGATGCAATTTCTGTTGCCTCTTCTATGCCACCTTCATCCATGGGTCACTACCAAAGGTTTGGACACAGACTCCACAGACTATACCTATTACAGCTAAGATATGTGAGGAAATACTTAATGAAACTACTACAGAAGAGAAAAAAGAGGCTTTAGATAAATCTGTGGACTCTTGAACAATGTGCAAAAGCAAACACTACAACCTTGTGGTTCTATTACCTGGTATCCCTTGGCTCAGGATTTTGTACTTGAGACAAGCCATAAATGATGGAAATTTCAACATAAATACAGGTGAAGACCAAGTACAACTACTGGATTTATACATTTTGAGTTTTGTATATCACAAAATAATCAGTCTAAATTTCCTAGACTTAGACTTGATTTCTGAACTAGAACATCACATACTCAAATGATAGAAAATGACTACAGCTAAAATGCTCCTAATGTTTTACTGCATTATCAAGAGGATGGACCTAAATGAGGAAAATTTAAAAATCAGTGTTTCTGACTATTGCTGCATGAATATAATGCTCTGGATAGAAAGCATAAATTCAGAAGTATGAATTAGTAGACAATAATAATCATGTGCCATAGAAGCTTACCTAACAATTATTTATCTACTTCCCAAATGAACATCTTTCAATAAAGAAGAGTTTATCCTTTATTTTCTGCAAAATAAAATTGATCCATGAAAAATATCTGCCTTCAAAAAGTGCTAAAAATGAGAAAAAAAAACAAATATGAATATCTATAAGTATCCTGTAAAAGACAGAGTTAATTAACAGGAAAGAAGAAGAGATGGGGGTAGAAAAGTGTTTTTTTTATTTGAGAGATTAATTAGACAAATGCAGAGGTGAGGTAGGATGTGTTTATGAAGAGGAAGAAGAAAAAAAGTAAAATAATTAAAGGAAGAGTGAAATAGAGAACACTAGAGTTTGGTTGTTAGCAAGGGAAAAAAAAGAAAAAGGGAAATAGAGTTATGAAACATACAAAAGAAAATCAATCCAGAAGATACTAATCAAAATCTCTAATCCTGAAAAAACAGAGCACTGAAAAATAGCTACCTTCAAGAAATGCTCAAAATGAAAACGTGGAAACAAATATGTATGTGTACAAATGTATAAATGTCCATCATGTATCAATCAATACACATCCAAAAACAAAACAAAATAAAAACAAAAACAACATAACAGAATAGTCAACAAGAGTATATGCACGCTGTCTACGCCAAACTGTCCTTCATTTCTTAGCTTCCTTTGTCAGAGGAATGGTGTGAGGGTCTGTGGAAGACATTTTTGGCTTCACTTCCAGGGTGTGGTTTCCTCTGGGTTCTATGAGATGAGTTTCTGCAAATGAAGCTTGCAGGGATGGCACAGGTCTGGTATTTCATTGCAGGGGGAGTTTTGGGGTATTAGGACTGTACCCCACTACTCTCCCCAGGGCACCAATTGTGGGAAGGGGGAGTCAGTCCTTCTCTGATTCTTTTGTTTGGGGACACAGCCCTTTTTGGCCTCTCAGAGACTGTTTCTGAGCACTGAGCTCAGTCACTCCACCTGTTCAGATTCTCCCTGTAGCTGGTCCTATGGCTGCTGGGTTCAAGGGAGTGGGGAGAACTGGCTTTCTCAGGCCTCTCTGATCTGTGTTGCCCCCAGACAAAGTAGTGTTCGTGCCAATAATTCTCTGTGCCAAAGGTTCTCCTGATTTTCTAGGCTCAGTTTAGATTTTGTGGTTGGCATTTGCTGGATTCATGTATTGGACTCAGCCTGGAACTCACAGATCTAAGTTCCTGGTCTGAGTTTGTGCTTCTGTCACGTGGAGATACTAAAATGTCTCTACCCCTCAACAGGCAGACTGTGACTTTCCCACAGCAGTTTAATGAACCAAAAGTCCCTGGGCTGGCTCAGGGCAGGCAGCCCCTCTGACCCTGGGATTCCCCATACCAAGACCTCCCCACCACTTTTCTTCAGTCCTTTCTGACCTTGTGTATTAATTTTGCCCACCCCCACCAGGAGCTCTACTCCAATTCTGTTCCTTAGCCTTGTCTGATATATCCAAAATTTCCCAAGGCTCTCTGTCCAATACTGAGTGCCAGTGGGGTGTCTTCACTCACCTCACAGAGAAGTAGTTGTCTTCCTGTTCGAGTCTGAGTTACTGAGCTTTGAGAAAAGCCACTTCCCACTAATCCGCCATCTTGGAATCCTAGGATTAGATAAGAGAAAGGAATCGGTTGTTCTAGTGGTTTAGAATGACGCTGGGTTTCTAGTCAAATACCCTGTTACAACTGTGCTTGTTGTCACCTCCTTCATGTTAGTAGGCTTGCTCTTCTAGAAACCAAGATCAGATCCTCTTGTCTTGCTCACTTGAATGGCACAACAAAATAAGCAACATCTGTATTTATTTACCAAAGGAAAGAGTGCCTCAGGGATTTAGCAAATGTCATAAGAAACACTGAAAACTGCTTTCTATTATTCATATTTTAGGGCATCCCAAAGCAGCCTCACTGCTGCTTACCTCTGAGCTGAATAACGTTACTTGGCTGCACAGAAATATTGTCTTCCATGGAAACCAAGGTGATCTGATGGGGTTACATAGAGACAAGATTTTTAATGTCAGTAGCATTTTCAGATTTTGGCAGGGTAGACACTGCCAAAATCAGGGTAACACAGATTTTTGGCTAGTTGGTCACTATCTGACCAAATGGTAAGAGTAGGAAATGCTGCTTGTACTACAGGCCATGATGGATAAAGAATACAAATTACATAATCACTAATCCTGCTGTATGACCTGGGGCAAGTTACTTAACCTCTCTGGGCCTCAAATTTCCCCATCTGTGAATTATACACTTGGAATATTTTCTGGTTCCCATATTGATAGCAAAGGACAGAAATCTGTTTTTAGACTCTTTAATCAAACTGCTTTTTAAACCTTAAGATTTTTAAAATATTAGCTTGAAATAATGTTTTAATTAATATTCTCTTGATAATAGTAACAATGAGCAATAGATGACATAGTAGATGTCACTTACTGTTGTATACTATTATTATTCTTGGGCTTACAGTTATCGGGTAATTTTATTTATGTATTTTAAATTTTATTTTTATTTTTGTAAATGAATGGTTTTTAAAGTTGTTTGTTTTGCATATAGATATAAATTTTTTTTCTGGCACCATTCATTGACTTCCCTTTCTCCATTAAACTGCTTTTGTGGCCTGACTGAAATTAATTGGCAACATATCTCTACGTCTATTTTGGACACTGTAATGTGTTCTATTGATTTGGTTTTTTGTTCTTTTGATAACATCATAATGTCTTGATTATTGGAGTTTCATAATAAATCTTAAAATTGTGTAGTTTGATTCTTCCAAATTTATTCTTCTTTTAGAAATTGTTTTGGCTATTTTAGTTTCTTTCCTTTTATCTATAAATTTTAGAATCAGCTTGTCTATAGCTATAAAAAATGTTTCTGGAACTTCGATTGGATTGTATTGAACCTATGAGTCAATGTGGAGAGAACTGTCCTCTTTATTATGTCAAATCTTCTCATCTATAAAATCAGTCTCTTTCCACTTAGGCTTTTTATTTCTTTCTCCCACTCTGTAGGCTCCCTCTTCACATTATTGATTGTTTCCTTTGCTCAGAAGAAGCTTTTTAGTTTGAATCCATCCTATTTGTTGATTCTTGATTTTATTGTTTTTGCTTTGGGGGACTTGTTAAGGAAGTCAGTTCCTAAGCTGACATTTAGGCCTACTTTTTCTTCTACTACCACAGAGTCTCTAGTCCAGTGCCTAAGTCTTTGATCCACTTTGAGTTGGGCTTTGTGCAGGGTGAGAAATAAGGGTTTAATTTCATTTTGCTACATATGAATTTTCAGTTTTCCCAGCACCATTGGTTGAAGAGGCTATATTTTCTCCAATGAATGTCTTTGGCACCCTTGTCTAGTATGAGATAACTGTGTTTATGAGGGTTTGTCTCTGTGTCATCTATTCTGTACCATTGGTCTGCATGTCTCTTTTGGTGCCAATACCATGCTGTTTTTCTTACTATGACTCTGTAATATAGTTTAAGGTCTGGCATTGTGAGGATGTGGGGGAAAAGGTACACTCATACATTGCTGGTGGGACTGCAAATTGGTGCAACTATTATGAAAAGCATTATGTAGAAAGTTAGAATGGAACTAACATTTGACCCAGCTACTCCACTCCTTGGTTTATACCTAAAGGGCTTAAAATCAGCATACTAGAGTGATGCACCACAACAATGTTTATAGCAGCTCAAGTCATACTAGCTAAACTATGAAACCAATCCAGGTGCCCTTCAGCAGATGAATAGATAAAGAAATTGTAGTATGTATACACAATAGAATATTACTAAACCATAAAGAAGAATGAAATTATAGCATTTGCTGGTAAATGGATGGAGCTGAAGAATATCATGCTAAGCAAAATAAGCTAGTCCCCCCAAAACAAAGGTTGAAAGTTTCGTCTGAAAGGCCAATGCTAGCTTAAATGGGGGAAGGGGTGAGGGAAGAATAAAGGTGTTTTGGATTGGTCATAGGGCAGTGAAGGGAGGGAAGGATGTATGGGGGTAGGAAGGACAGTAGAATGAATCAGATATCATTACCCTATGAGCATATATGACTACATGACTGGTGTGAATCTACATCATGTACAGCCAGAAAAAAGAGAAATTATAATGTTTATGTATGATATGTCAAAATGCATTCTACTGTTATGTATAACTAATGAGAACAAAAGGGCAAGTGCATGTGTGCACACGTGCACACACATAAACACACAAGAAATGCAAGGCAAAAAATACACAGATTCAATAACCATCAAAATATCAATGACAAATACCAATGACATTCTTCAGAGAATAGTCCTTAAATTCATTTGGAAGAATAGCCAAAGCAATACTGAATAAGAAAAGTGAAGTAGGAGGCACTACTATCCCCAATCTCAAATTACACTATAGAGCTACAGTAGCAAAAGCAGTATGTATTGGAATCAAAATAGACAGGAAGACCAATGGAACAAAATGGAAGACACAGAAATAACCCAAATTTATACAGTCATGTGATACTTGACAAATGTTAAATAAATAAATGTTGGAGAAAACACAGCCTGTTTAATAAATGATGCTGGACAAACTGGATATCCATGTACAGAAGAATGAATTTGGATTTTTATCTTTCACCCTGTTCAAAAGTTGAATAAAAAATGGATCAAAGTCTTAGGATTCAGACCAGAAACCTAACAATTGCTAAAAAAAAAATACCCTCAACACTCTATCACATAATTATAAAAACAAACTTCCTTAACAAGGCCCCTAAAGCTCAAGAGATAAAAACCAAGAACCATTAAATAGGATGCCATCAAATTAAAAAGCTTCTGCACAGCAAACAAGATGATTAAGGGTGAAGAGAGGACCTTTGGAATGGGAAAAAAAATCTTTGCCACCAGGATTATTATCCAGAATACATAAAGAATTCAAAATACTCAATGCCAAAAAAACAAATAACCCAATCAATAAATGGGCAAAAGAACTAAACAGAAATTTCTCAAAAGAAGAAACACAAATGGTCAACAAATATATAAAAAATGTTCAACATCTCTAGCAATCAGGGAAATGCCAATCAAAATTACACTAAGATTTCATCTCACTCCAGTCATAATGGTAATCATCAAGGATACAAATGTTAGACCACGGTGCAAGAAAAGACCACTGACTCCAATTAAAATCAAATTAAAGCAAGCTTATTATTTTGACCTGCCAGGCTGCCTTTCCCATCAAAATCATGGGAGCCAAGTACAGCCCCGAAGCTCTCTTGCAGCCCAGCTTTATAGCCCAAAAAGTTACACAAAGTGGGGTTACAGATAATAAAAGTCTGAGAAACATTACACACAAATGTTAGTTTACATTTTTGCTGGCCCCAACATCAGAATTTATGAAGGTCGTTAGAGCCTCAGAGAGGGTCATTATTTGGCCAGGGAAGGCCAGGATTTATGAGTCGTCACTAAGATTTAGGAAAGGGTTGTTATCTGGTCAGAGAAAACCAGGCATGGGTGAGTTCAAGGCACAGGCAGGCATTCCAAGCAGCATAACAACATCAACTTATGGCCAGGCTATACAGACATCCTAATATTTTTACAGAAAACAGAAATGAATCCTTCATAACTTGTGACAAGCTGGTTTCTGGTCTAAAGAGAATTAGGCTAGGTATATCAACAAATAATAATAAATGTTGACAAAAATTTAGGGGAAAAGGTGTTCTTCAGTGTTTATCCAAAAGAACTAAAATCAGCATACTGTAACAGTATACCCACTGCAATGGTTATAGCAGCATAGTTCACAATGGCAGAATTATGGAAACAACCCAGATGTCCATCAACAGATGAATGGTTCAAGAAAATGGGTATATACAAACAATGGAGATGTATTCAGCCATAAAGAAGAATGAAATAATGTGTATTATTTTACACTTATAGCACATCTCATTTCAGATTAGATACATTTAAAGCACTCAAAATCCTCACTTGAATACAATATTATACTGTTCACTATAATGCAATATTATACTATTTATTTAGTTCATAAACCAGCAAAGGTGAAGGACAGTCTGAGGAAGGTATGATGTAGAAACTGCCATAGTTAATGTTATGGATCCTAATCACAAAGACAGTAATCATCAAGAAGGCAATGCAGTTGTAAACACCTAAATAAAAATGGGATTATTGGGGATGAAGATGAAGCATATGGGCCAATGACCCCAGAATGGAACTTTTGGAAAGACTTATCTGTGTCAGATACGGGAAAATGTATACACAGGCAGCCAAACCAGTCAGGAAATGCTTACCTCTGTGATGCTCTAGGCTGTTTCATAATAGACAAGAAAACAGCAGGCACTGGGCCAGAAACTACAACATGCCATGATAATCAAAGGAATTGTCAGCAGATTATAAAGCACCATTTAGATCTGATTCACAAGGTCAATCAATGATGAATGAATACTAAAGAGCTGGCTCTGTCCTAGTACACCTCAAGATTAAGTAAAGCTTGTACCCAGCATTTCCCCTTCACTTCCCACCCTCCTGGATGCCTTAGCCAGTGTCTGTCCTTCTGAATCAAATCATGTAGCTCCTCCAGCCACTCAAGATGACTCCTGGTGATCTCCTTCAAGTGCACTACCTACTTTCTCTGACAAACCCT